GGACAGGAAAGGAGGCGTCAGTTACCTGGATCTCTCCGGCATCCAGCGCCACTGGAAAGATGTGACGCACCAGCCACAGCAGCCTTTGGATTTCTCTAGGCGATGGGTGGCACAGGAGGCAGCCATCTGTGAAAGCTGGGATTCTGATCCCTGCAGCTTCTAGCAAGATGAGAGTCTGGCTTGGATGGAAAAACAGATTGCCCCAAATCGTCGTCTAGAGGTGCTGAATCATGCATGAATGTCAGAACATGATGCCAAGCATGGCATCTTTTCCTGAGGGCTTTATCTGCTGTGAACCCAGAGAGTTCTGTGTTAGGATTTTTTTTTTTTAAACTCACAGAGATAATTGTTATGTCACACACCCAACGGGAAATTAAGTCTCTCTCATAATTGGATTTGGTGTTTGCTGGCGTCTTAAAGGCAAGAGCAAGTTTATTTTAGATTCCTTAAAAACCTTGAATTAAAACATTCCCATCAGAGCCTGGTACAATGGTGCATGCCTGTAACTCCTAGAAGTCAGGTGGCTGAGGCGGGAGGACAGCAAGCTTGAGGCTAGTCTGCATTACTTAGTGAGTTCCTCTTTCAACAATCTAAAAAAATCCAAGTCCCATCAACATAGCAGGTATGCCAGCTGCCATTGTGCCAGAGAGGCCTATCTGCGCCTACTGGCTCTTCGAGCTTCATTCTTGTTTATTTGTTTGTTTGTCTGGGTCTTTTCCTTCTCATTCTGAGTTATAAAAAAAATAGCTAATAACTTGGCAGCAGTGCAGTATGTGTTGGAAAAATAGAAATTAATGAGAAATGGGACATTGTGAGACTGAAAATGAGTACAGAAAAAAAAGCCTACAGAACATTTAAGTGCAATTTTCCAATACAGATTGTAGTGGATATCACACACAGAAACATATACCTTTTCAAGCCTTCATTATTGAACAACGTATAATTCCTTTGTTTTCCTACTTTTAAAAAGATACAGAAAAAGTAATACAATGCTATTGTATATAGAATACAAAAAAGAAAAACAATACAATGCTAAGATAGAAAACATTGCTTTCATTTGAATGCCTAATTGCTTGAAAGTTGATTCAGGCTAAACTCTTGGAGGTCTCAGTAGTGACAAGGTCAAAAGAAATGCTATGGAACTGAAGGTCCAAAGCAGTGTTATGGAAACACACCATCATCCTTGAAATAGTAGTCTCCTAGAGGAATTACCAAAAATGTTGATCTATTGGTTTGGAGAAAGTTGGATTTCTGGAGGCATTTGAACATATGTTTAAATATTTCATTTTCTTCTTAGTGTATTCTGTCTTCTATAGTTTTTTCACTTTTATTTTAATTGATCCTTTAGAAAAGTTTGGCATTTACACAGAGTATGCAGGTGAATACCATGCCTTGCTGACCTGTTTTGTTTTGTTTTTTTTTCCAGCTTTAATTACCGGGGGCCTGAGTTTGTTGTTGTTTGATGGTCTGTTCATTTGCTTCAAAAGAGTGACTGCTAAATAATAATAAATAATTTTAAAAGAGGGGTGTGACCTAAACACAAAATAATTTTGTTTGAGTCCAGCAAGCCCTCTCTTTGCTGGGAATTTAAACCAGGACATTCCTAAAGAACAAGGCTAAGTAAGGACTGATGTTGAAATGTCTTAACATAGATAGATGCTACATCAAGGGAAGGGCTAACTCAAGTTGTAAGAGAGAAGAGAAATGCAGTCAGTGGAAATGATAGGGAAGGGACACCGGGATAGCAAAAAAAAGGGGGGAGAGTAGGGAGGAAAAAATGAAAGGGAGAGAAGAGGCAAGCCTGATAGATAAAAGAGCATTGAAGAGAGACCCCATGATGGACAGACACTAGCCCCGCCTTCAGTCAGCAGCTTGTTCTTCAGCTTTTCATTTGGCCTTCCTGACAGCCTTTGCTAACATGAATGAGCTTCTATTCTTTGCATCCAAGCATTGGTTGAAAAAGGCTCATCTAAGTTTAAAGTTCTCCCAGATGAGAACAAGGAAATTTATGTTTATTTAGGCCTAATTAGGATTGCAATCTTGAAAAATACAGATCTCATAGTTTTGAAATTATTATATTATATTATATTATATTATATTATATTATATTATATTATATTATATTATATTATATTATATTATATTATATTATATTATATTATATTATATTATATTATATTATATTATATTATATTATATTATATTATATTATATTATATTATATTATATTATATTATATTATATTATATTATATTATATTATATTATATTATATTATATTATATTATATTATATTATATTATATTATATTATATTATATTATATTATATTATATTATATTATATTATATTATATTATATTATATTATATTATATTA